TAAGATATATTTATGATCTTTTTTTCAAACACTTACATAATAGTTTCGCGCATCCCTGAAGTTACTCGTTAGGTCTGCAAGCTTGTTCTCAAAGACTTTTCTAGAGTAAAGAGCAGAATGTTTGTTTAATTAAGTATTTAGAATTGTGCCTTGTCTTGGTTAAGAATCCACGCAATTTAATCAGCTCATACTTACAGCCAAATTTACAAATCAAAAAACGAGGTTTTTTCCTCAGTCAGGAATAAACGAAAAACTCAGTGAAACATTCCCTTTACCGAAAGAAATGAAGCAAAGGACTTCGGGTCAATACCTCGAAGGCTCTGCTATTGAGCAACAAGAATTTCGAGGTAATTAAAGAGGCCGTATCCGACAAAAACTTGAATATTAATGTAAAACACTCGCAACTTACAGCTCCTCGTCTTCTTTCTTCACTACTTCACAAATTTGTCGGCGAAGCTCAGCGATTCTTGCACTCTTTCCATCATTTAGTTCTTTCAGTCTAATCAAACGTTTTCAATAGTGTTAAGAGTTTTCAGTGTAGATCAACTTTTTTCTTATACAAATAGGGATTGTTTTTTAAACTGCTTTCAAATGTTACCTGACCATGTCCGAGTCAAAAAATTAGTTGACAAAGTTATGATATTGTTCGATATTTTTATATTTCATGTATGAGAAGCAATATTGATCAAGTCAACTGGAAAACCCAAGATATCACATTAAACACAACCTCGTTGCCTGTAGCTGGGTTTGTAGAACCTTCTGTTTAGCTGCATTTACTGTTTCTAGAAAAAAGAAAGAAACAAAAAGGAAAAAAAAAATGAAAGGAAGAAATCAACATTTTTCAATACGTAAAATATTCGTCGACAGAAATTCACCTAAATTACGACAGTTTTTGTGGTCCTTTTGTTGTCACGGGGTGAGCTTTCCTATTATCAAGGGTTTTTCTTACAAATGAATACAAAATGGCCTAGATTCATTTTGAAAAACTAGATGATAGCCGAAATGATGCCTTTAAATATTCATGACGTTGGCCTTTTGTAAGAAAGTCGAGGCAGCAAAAGAATTAAAATGTTTTTGCTGTCACGATTGCTATCGTTTGATAGATACAAAAAAAAGGAATAATTATTTAATTAATAAAAAAGTAATAGCCCTTACCTAACATTTTGCAGTGTTTCTCAATGCTCTGGTAATGTTTTGATTGACCTAATAAAAATACATGATTTGAGCTGAAGCTTGAAGTGGGTTGTTAGTGCATAACGCAAAAAATAGGAACTGTCTTGTACATTGTGTTACTTACAAGCCTCAAGTTTGATTTCCAAGCTTCGACAACGAGATTTCTCTCCGTTAAAGTGCTGCTGAAGTCTCTCTTTTTCTGAAACACAAAACAGTGGCGACTTTTGTCATTCATAAGAAAAAGTGACAATAAAATACATTTTATGACCCTCCCCTGCTCCGAGGAAAGAGCTGATAGGAGCAGTACAGTGTTGTATGATTATAAGACACTTTTAAAAGAATTGGAGAAAAAGAAAACCATATAAAAGCTCCTAATTGACTATTTCCTACGTAAGCAAACCTTGTTGCAGTTCACGAAGAGAGTTGAAAATGACGTCCATTGGGAAGTTTGGGGAACCAGAACCGCCCGTTGGATTACTCATGTTACCTTCCCCTCTCTCGGAAAGGTTTCAGAAACGTTGATTATCGAACAATATTGTCGACTTTTATATTTTGAGTAATCTTGACAAATCACATATAAGTTTTTTCTTCTTGCTACTTGTTTTATTTTTTATTTTGGACAAAGCGCGCAGGCCGCACGCTTTTTTCGCGCCAATTTCATTTACGAAACTGAGATCACATAGGTCAGTGGTGACTCATCACTGTGTGGTGTAATTGTCACCAAAGGGCAGCTTGGTCACCAGTTTCCCACTTATAGCATTTTGTGATAACTGATGAGGAAAAATCCACGTTGTTGACCGAAGTGTTTCTAATCATCGGTGTATTTTTCGCGTGTATAGTTATTTATAAAATAAAGTAAGAAAATGGTTAATTCTTCATCTATGCAGCAAATTGGACTCCAACTTGCAGATCAAAATCGGTGAGTATGAAGTTTAAATGATAGATCTTAGAAATCGGCTGTTATCGATCGACTGATCAGGTGTTGATTGAAGTTTGTGATTAAATTTAATGCACATTTAAACTTACTGGAAGCTTGCCGACGAAAAAATTTTCTTTATTACTTTAGAATATATTCCAGTCTCAGACGAAACCTTTTTCTGATATCATAACATAATCGGATTAATATGTGCTTATGAATCTGAACATGGGCTTTTCCACGAAAGCATACACGTGTGTAAAGCTAATTGAAATAGGCATATGGTTCCCTCACCTTCAAGTCATCTCAACAGGTTTCTGGCTTGTTTTCCATTTGAGTCATAAGTGCTTTAATGACAATTTCCTCTGTTTCTCTCAGACCACTAACAGACAGATTCCGTGCCCTTTTTACACTAAGAAATCTTGGTGGACATGAAGCCATTGATTGCATTTCAAAGTGTAAGTTATTTTGAATCATAGTACAGTTTGATTTACCAAGGTTTAGCAGAGTATTATCAGCAGTTCTGGTGTATGAAGTGGCATGTGACAAAGTAGTGTGTAGATCATGACTGTTGAAGCAAACACAAGGACCCCACCATGGCTCAAACCTGTAATTTTTTTTACCGAAGCATTAAGCATTCAGAGCACTAATCCCTTCTAAACCACAGTCTTGTCCTTGGAGCTGCAGGGAGAGGGAGGATAGGAGAAGGCAGAATGGCCTATGGATGAGGATACCTTCTGCACCCTCCCCTCCCTCCCTCAGATCTGCCCTTGGATCTGGATCTCTGATCACTGCAATATTCCTTTACTTTTGAAACCGCTGCCTGGTTAGCTCAATTGGGAGAGCGCCGGACTGCTGTGCAGGAGGTCGAGAGTTCAATACCGGCCGAACCAACACTCAGGGTCTTAAAATTAATTGAGAAGAATATGCTTCCTTTCTTTAACATCAAGAAATGGTTAGATATTCTAGTCTTCTCGGATAGGGACGAATAAATAGAGGTCCCGTCTCCTGCAGGGTTGGGGTAGGAGACGTTAATTTCCCACGCACGAGATTACTGTGTGATGGATGTCCTCCCTGGGATGGGTTGGGTGGGTAGGTGAAATTGCTACAGACTAAACACGGCTGCCAGAGGCGCCTGTCTGATTTCAACCTTAAAATTGTAACTAAACACATATGTGGTTTAGAGAAATAGAGACCTTTACTTTTACCTTTAATTAACCTCTTGTATTTTCCTCTAGGCTTTGATGATCCATCAGCATTACTTAAACATGAATTGGCTTATTGTCTGGGACAAATGCAGGTACAGTTTATTAGTGCATGTATATTTGCATACATAGAGTGTATTGAGAAGGACCCTTCGTTTTTTAACCAGGCCTCAGCTATTTTGAAAATGTTTGCAAGGCTGTGCTCTAAGGAAACTTGAATGGAGCCCTGTGCTTTGAATCCCTGAAATCCAGGGTGCCCAGGATATGCTTTGAATGGAAAAATTAAATTCCTGAGTCACCCAAGAGCAAAAGTAAGGTGCCAGGGGCCACCAGGGGCTGCTAGACCACAGCCTTGGCTTGACCCTGACTTTTCTTTGTTAAGACTTCAAGATGCAAGCTCTGTAGTCAAACAGGATGATTCAGTACTTTCTCATCAACAACTTTTATAACAAGAACAGCTGACTGCAGTGAAAACAGTATTGATCACATTCTAACAAATTTTGTAAACTTCATATACTGTACATAATTATGTATGTAGAGGAAGACAACCATATTAGTATATAATTATATGAATAAAATTATTTTTCTTTCCTTTTGCAGGATGAATATGCTATTCCAGGATTGATTAGGTAAACAAACTCAAGGGTTGCAATCATGACAAATCATTCATTTTTCCCATAAAGCTTATGAGCCAATCCAAATGCATATTTAAACTTAGTTAAAAGAACTTGTTGTGTACTAACAATTATAGATTTTGTCACAACGTACAGTTAATAAGATTAATGTTTTAATTATTTAGAGTCCTTCAAGATAAAACACAAGAGCCAATGGTTCGACATGAGGTACATGTCTTTAAATTAATCATGTTGCACATGTAGATGCCGAGACTTCAGTAGAATGAATGAAGATGAGAGAAAACTGGTTTAAAAATAGACTAGCACATGTCATGATTTTTCCCAAACTCTTAAATGTAATTGCAGGAATATTAATTGTTTCCCAGTAGTAAGTTACTGCTCTGCTAGTTTTATTCTTCAATTCTTGTTTCTTGTAATTAGAGGCTGGTGAGGCACTTGGTGCTATTGGATCAGCTGAAGTTCTTGATGTCTTGAGAGAGTTTGCCAATGACCCACAGATAGAGGTACAGCTATACTGAAACAACTAACAAACTGTTTAAAGAAATAGTCAGTAAAACAGGATGGTCAAAGAAAGAAAAAAGAATGAATATTAATTAAGGCTGTAGTCGGAGTGAATGTTTAGACATGGGCCAGATTTCTTTCTACTATAGAAAGAATCTCCCAAATTAGGTAGACAACAAGAAGCGATGTTTTGTATTTTTTTGGTATTTTATGGTCAAGTATTTTAAGTAAACTGCATTTTTCAGGTAGCAGAAACCTGTCAACTTGCTGTTCAGAGATTAGAATGGCTGAAAGAAAAAAGCTCTAAAGAAAATAGTCAGCTAAGGTTTGTGCTTTGTTCTAGCTTGTACTTGTATTCTTGATTCAGATTAATTTGTGATTTACAGATACTGCTAATAAATAAAGTGACGTTGTTTCCTCTTTGTTTGAGTTATACCATAATTGAAGGGGTGCATGGTAAAAGGCCTCACACTGAGCAGTTTTCCCTCCAAAATTGCTTTCTTTTTCCTTAAGAAGTGCAGTGAGAACTGGACAAGGGCTTTATTACTGGCTCTTATTATATGGCTGTGT